TTTCGGTTTTTAAAAAATTTATGGATATATATTTATTAAATATATATATATATATATATTTAATATATATTTATTTGCGTTATTTATATATATTAAACATATATATTTAAATAATAGATAATTAAAAAATGTATAAATATTATCAATTTAATTAATTAATTTCATATATATTATTATATATATGATTAATGAAAAAATATTAATAATATATTATTAAGAAACAAATATATTAATATTAAACAATATTAATATGTATACTAATTATTAGTTTAAAATTTTTTATTTAGGCTGATGAGTATGTTGTCGAGTTCGAGGGTTCTGGACCCCGACACACATCCTCTCGAAATGTGAATGCTTCCGTTCGGCGGGAGAGGGAACGGATGCGCCTTCATGCTCGCAGGGTACAGACTGCCCAAGCTGGTAGTTCGAGAAATCATGTTGCTCCGATACAGAGTGGTCAGCAATATGGTCCAGTCATGCCTCAGTCAGGCCCAGTCATGCCTCACTCTGGCCCACTCATGCCTCAGTCTGGCCCATTCATGCCTGGCAGTTGGAGTGGTCAGCAGTCCTTGTCAGTGAGGCCTAGCAGTTCTGGACGTCTCCCGACTATACGTATTGTTCATCGGCGGGACTCCATTGAGTCGACAGTCAGGAGTCCGAGGCATGATGATGATGATGATGATGATGATGACGACGACGAGCAGACCTATGATGATGACGAGCAGGCCTATGATGATGACGAGGAGACATATGATGATGACGAGCAAGCTTATGATGATTACTTTGATGCAGCTGAGCAGCCACAGACTCAGCCACAGGCACGTCCAGCTAAACGACTCGGCCGAGTTGATCCTCCATGCACGACAGGCTGGGGGCCGTTATACGAGCGCTGCCTTATCTTCAGGTAAATGATTTACGTATTTATTGTTGTTTACCATTAGATATTATTTTATTTAATAACAGCGCATCATTGATACAATCAATCACAGTATGTTGTATATATATTGATTGTTCTATTATAATACAGGGGCGAGTAGCAAACGCACTAAGTGTGACGACTGGCTTGTTAAAGCCCCAGTACCCGGTGGCCCCTTTGACGGGAGTGTTATCCCTAGTTTTCTAGGGCACGTAGCCTCCCGGATTTGGACATGACATGTTAGAGGCACGTTGAAGTGCCAAAACAGGATGTCAGCGAACGGTGTTTTGAGGGAGTGGCTCGTACGGATGGCTGAGGCTCCGCTTGATCTGATCCGTCCGACCGGGCTGTCACATTTGGCGTCCAGCATGCATGACCACATCGACACTCAACTTATTTCAGCATTTGTGGAGCGCTGGCAGCCGGATACCAACTCGTTTCACCTGCCTTTTGATGAAATGAGTATCATGTTGCACGACGTGAGGGCGATATTGGGGGTTCTTATCGTCGGTACGGTAGTCACAGGGGACCCCGACACCTTGACACAGCAAGCGCATTGCATGGAGCTCCTGGGGGTGGACCAGGCAACGCTGATAGCGAAGTTCTGGGGTCACGGCTCAGTGACGAATGAAGCCGTTTTTACTGCGTTGGAGAAGAATGGCGCAGGTCGGTCGGCTGAGCATGTGGCGATTGGCTGGCTGTGGGTGCTGCTCGCTACCACCTTGTTTACAGACAAGAGTGGTAACAGGGTCAGTCCCAAAATCCTGCACGAGATGATGGAGGACCTGCAGAGTGTTGGGACTTACTCGTGGGGCTCGGCCGCACTGGCATACCTATTCAGACACTTAGGTATGGCCAGCAGGGGGGAGTCGGGGGGAGTGGCGGGCTGCTTGACTCTCATGCAATCCTGGATATACGAGTACTTCCCCACCTTCCGACCCTCCGGTTCGCGTACGTCCTCCGAGCCTGACAGCTTGGCCCGATCAGCCTTGTGGAGGACCCCCGTCCCAGATAACTCAGATAAGCGCCTCAAGCATTTCCGTAGGCAGCTTGACAGACTCACAGCCGCCGAGGTACGTTAAGTTATTTTATTACATTTACTTGAAAGTTATTTAGAATACTCGAATTGTTTGAATAAATGTTTTATGCAATTGTGAACAGGTAAACTGGCTGCCATACGGCCACAACCCACATTTGCAGGAGCTCAGGACCCTTTATTACGGATGCCTTAGGTACCGGGATATTGTGGAGCCGTACATGCCTATGCGTTTCTTGCGTCAGTTGGGCTACATCCAGACGATCCCTCCCCGCATGGATCATCCGACCACTGTATTTCGTGGTTGGAATGCTGTTCATGTGTGATTTTACACCATATTTATTGAGTATCTAGAGCTTAGTCATTGCGTTATTGGTGTATAAATCGCATATTTGTGCTTTAATTCTCTATTTGTTGGAAAGGTATTACACGTGCTTGTTTTGTAGATATTTTCACGTATTTTTAGAGCTTGTGGCTATTGGAGGCGCATTGTGAGTACCTAGGACCCCCGAGATGATGATGGATTGATGCACGGATGAGAAATATGGAAGAAACGAGTGAAACGGACAAAAACGAGAGTGCTGGGATGTGACACGGACGGTGACACGGGCACCATGCCCGTGTCAGGTGGCCGTGTCACGTGAACAGGGACATTCCGAGGGCTTGAACTTGACACGACCTGCGACACGGCCGGTGACACGGGCCGTGTGGCCGTGTCGCGCGCGGGAACAGATTTTTATTACTTACCTATTTTGACGAGGAGAAGGTTTTTTTGACACAAGCGGAAGCATATTTAACCTAGTTTGAGAGGCCAAAGAGGAGGGACACGTTAGAGAGGCTTGAAAACACACAAGAGGAGCAATTGGAAGGCAAAGAGAGATCAACTACGAAGGGATCAAGGAGATTGAAAGATCGACGAGATTCCTAGTTTTTCCTATCTTTTTTCTTTTGAACTTTTATTGATCATGTTGATTTCTAATATGTCTATGCATTTGAATTCAAACATGAGTAGCTAGATTATTTGATTCTAAGACTTGGTAGTAGATTAATATGTTGGGATTTTGGATGATTTATTATAATTGATTGTTTTCTTTTGAACCCTATTCAAATATTTTGCTCTTAATTCATGTTTAGCACTTGGCCAATGTTTTTACATGTTTGACAATATTGTTCATAATTCGAGAGATGAGTTCAATGTTAGGTCTTTGATATTTGACACAATTTACTTGCTTGAGTCGAGAGATTAGTATGTTGTTGTGAGGATATTAGATCTTTTAATCTATTTGGAGTTGAATTGCATGTGTTGAGTGGAGACGCTAATATGTGTGATTTAATCTACGGTTTTATTGATCTCGAGAGGGACAATAAGCTAAATTTGTGATCGTCTTATAGGGTAGATAAAGAAAACATTGGTTGTGATACTTTTGAAGGAACCCAACTGTTAATTGAAACCAAAGTCTTAGAATCTATCGTTACCATATATCTTCCTACGTGTTTTCCTAGCTAATTCTTTATTTTTGCCTTATTTACTTGATTATATTTTCTTAGTGTAGTTAATCCATTTCATATTCGGTCGTCTAAATAAAATCGACACTATCATAATCTAGTAATTGGTATAATAATTATTTGGTCCCTTGGGATACGACCTTGCTTGCCACATACTACGAGCGAAGCCGTACACTTGCGGTCGAGCTTTAAAAATATAGGCGAACAAATGCTAGGATGTACAGGGTTGAGCATGCATCGGACGCTGCAGTAGATCACTGGGATCAGTTCCCGGTACTGCATTCTGTACGCTTATCTGATTTTACTCCCACCACCGCAGATGATCTAGGGGCGGCCCATGAGGACTACCAGCGATGGTATGAGAGTTATTCTCATCCTAGACTCTTGCCCGACAGTCAGGCGGACAACGAGGCTGTCCCTGCGCACGCCAACACAGATTACGTAAGTCGTTTACTAAATTTAGTTAGTATTCGTTCATTACAATTTTTTTATATATTTTAATTATGTGTATATATTTTCATTGTGCTTTGTGTGGTGGATCGGACGGTCCATGTCCCTTTCATCAGATATGCATCAAGAGATCGCGACACTTGCTCCTGATAGGGCGGCATTTTATGCAGAAAAACTGGCTCAGTTGAGGTTGAATTTCGACAGAGCGCAGTAGTGATGTAATAATTACTTATTTTTTTTTATATATATTTTGTTTTGGATGTTGTCAGAAACCACCCGAATTGTATTTTTTTTATTTGTGGTTAGTTAATTTTATTTTCATCTAAACAAAAAATTCTCTCATTATATCACGTGAAACGGTAGACACGGCGAGATATCACAATCTATCACTCGTAACGCATGAAAATAAAATTTTAAAATAAAACCGCAGACATAAGTCGAATATCACAATATATCAAATTCCAGCTGCAGTACGAATATCATTCCACAACTGGAACCTGCTCTGGTACTGATACGGCCAATCTCGAACTGAAACATCTCGATATTTCTCCCAAAAAAAACACAAAGGCGGTAATGGAGAATCAGAACACAGATTGATACGAATGAAGTGCGAGTAGGAACCAAGATGACCTATGACGATCTCACAGTCAGGTCGTGTAGCCGTGGATGGTGCGCGGATCGGGAATACCGTCATACTAGCCATGTCCATATTGTTATCGTTGGGACCATAGCTTAACAACACGACAACTGCATTGAACAGTGTAGCAATAGCAAAGAGGTCGCCCGTAGCATTCATCCAATGCTTCTCGCCACAAGGACCCCCGTCCCATCTTATACGATCGATTGCGACGTCGACCCCATCCCAATAAAATGGAGCGTACAAATGAATGTTGGCTGCAACCTCATTTGCAATATTTCTTCTTGCCACATCCCACTTCTGCTGATCCCTATAAATGTAACTCGCAACCTCATTCAATAGCTTCCTCATGACTATCAAATAGCTCATTTGTAGCAAAACAAGATCGGTAATCTTCGCCGTCTCCTCCAAAATCTTCGAGTGGCACCTGCAAATAATAATAGTAATTAATAAATTTTACGTTATATCAAATAAATTTTACTTCTCTCAAATAATAATAGTAATTAATTTGTAATTTATTATATAATCAATTCAAACTTCTAACGTTATATCAATAAATTTTACGTTATAAGATAATACATTCATATATATTAATAATTTATACTAACATAAATTTTTCCTATTACATAATTTTATACTATTAATTTAATACTAAATATTAATATTAGTTTTTTATAAATACTTTCTATTAGTATATACTAAAAAAATTAATATATTACTATATAACTTTTTTATATATTATTATATATTAATATCACTTTTTTATATTATAATAGTAATTACTAATATAATTTTTTTATATTAGTCCATGAATTTTTAATATATATTATTATATATTAATAATAATTTTATATTATAATTTTTTTATAATAATAATTTTATTATAT